TTAGACCATGAGAATCTCTATTATTATTCCATAAATGCACCATTGACTTTTCCTTGTTCAGCTTCCGGTAAACCGATACTTCGAAGCAAAAATAGCTTTACAACGACTCTATCCAGGCCAGAACTCCTGATATCAACAAATATACCCCCCCCTCTAAAGAGAGCAAACTTTCCCCGAACTATTCACTTGACCCACCCCATCCCTTCGTTAAGAAAAACTACGCTCTCAGTTCACTGGACAAAACCGGCTCGTGAATATACCAAATTATAGCCGTTCATCCTACAAGCAATCTCAGTTTCAGCAGGCATGGCAACGTTTCCAGTTGCTGTAAGATTAATTCGACACCTGCAACAGACACTGTAAATTAAATAGCAGCCACAACGCCCTTCTTTGAAACCGTCAGGACGAGAAAGTTTATAAAAGACTTAACAGGTGTGCGCGGCGGTTTCCTTTTCTTCCTTCCCTCCCATTGTAGCACTCAAATTCTGACCCTGATATTAATTCTAGTAGTAATCAATCGTTCCTGAACTGATAGGCACAAGGATACCGGTTTCTTGCAAAATATGCTGTAACATCCGTTTGCTCATCCCCCTTTTCTGTCTTCGGCCGCTGATTAGGTTTGGTTCTGTTTGAAATAACTTTAGGAACGAAACATGATACGTGAGGGGTGTGTCCGGCTAAGGGCAAGTGACTCTCGGTGGTAGTGGTGGTGAAGACATATACTTAGCTTGTCAGTATTTCGTAGCCTGTACCATGACGCGAAAACAGAACAAGCCAAAGAAAAATAAGACGCCTTTCTTTCCCCAGCACCCGCAGGTTTTTCGCATTACTTTTTACTGCACAACTGCTTTACTATCTTGGATTCTACCATTTCGAGCCGGAGCGAACATGGGCGCCCTTGGGGTCGCAACTGACTAAACGCAAGCGCTGACTGGTGCACCTATGCTTCGTTTGCACTGAAGTAGCGGTATGTGACCACGACAGACTTGCTGCTATCCTTGGTTTGAAACCGCAATGGGCAAGAACAATTTCTTGAAAAGAGCAAACTGTTTCCTCCTTAGCAGACATGGAAAACAACTAGTAGGCCTTAAGCAATGGCATTGCTTAAGTCCTACTAGACTTGAAAAGAGAAAGCATGATGCTTTCTCTTTTTAATGATTTACGGCTAAACAGTACAATTTCATGTAGCTTTTATGCAAAATTAAATACTTAGTTGTTTGCAGAATTGCATTTAACAATAAATTACAGAAATTTAACTAAGTTTAGATCTCATAGATAAGAATTGAACGGAAAAAACTTTTGGGGTAAAAAGGTCAAAAAAAAATGTTTGCTGTAAAATCACTTAATGGACATACAATAGCAGAGACATCATACCTGCAATTTTCTGTTCAATGCACCTTATGACAAGTCTGACTAATCCACTGGTAGCCCATGCCTTAAAACCGCCTTGAACCTTAAAATTTAATCCATTTACCTTTCATGCGTAGTGCAAATATATCTTCTGAACACTCTGGGGTTGGGGGTAAAATCAGAAGAACAGAACATTCAGTTACTGTACCATTTTTAAAAGTGGGACAGTATGTTTGCTAACCATCTTAGTTAACCACTTTTAAAATAGGACAAAAGGACAGCTGGTCATACAGGAAAATGAATTTACTGTATCCCGAAAGCTTTGGTTTCCCGTGCACTTATTTTTCGCAGGAGACAATAGATAATTGCCTGGTCACGCAATCGGAGGTGAGTAACTAATTAAAAGTCATTGATACCATGGCCGCTTAGCAAATACACTACGCGTTGCAAAGGATCAAATTGCGCTAGAATGTTTTCCTGTTCGGCCCACTTTTTATCTCAGGTAAGGTACTGCAAAGCTGATTCATTTACGAAGGTTCGAGCGAGATAATTATTTCATGATGTTATTCTGATTTCGCAGTCACGGGAAAACAGACCTAGACTCAGGTCCACTCGCAGACGCCACGCTGCAATCTACAAGATCTCAAGAACAGAAATTACCCATTGAACGGCCTCTCCTTTTGAAGATTGCGTGCATTTCATTAAAACAGGTACATATTAAAAGAATCTTGTTAGTTTCTCCCTTTTAACGAGCTCAAATTGACGCGTAAAACTAAAGTGACGTGCACGTTAGGCTTTTGTACATTATGCTCGCATTTTTTCGAGCATTTTAGTGAGGCAAAAGCATTGAGCATTATTCGAGCATTTTAGTGGCATTTTCCCCGGAAAATTAATTTTTCCGAGAAAATAAAATAGAAATTAACTTTTTTCGGGAGCCCATGCCCCATGAGCTCCTGCTGTTTTAAACAAAATGAAGACTAGAATTCAAAATTCACAAAAAACCTAATACAGCTGGTTTTTTTGGCTGTATTTAGGGGCCGACCATTTAACTCTTGAGGGTGGGGGTGGGTGATTTCTGGTCATCAAGAATTTTTTTTCCTAGCAATATGGTGGGCAGGATATTTTTTTCCCTTTTTTTCCCATAAGCTCTCTATTACATTTGTGCTGCATGCAATTTTTTTCTTCCGACAAGCGCTTGCAGGAAATTTTTTTTCAAAGTCACCCACCCCCCCCCCCCTCAAGAGTTAAATGGTCGGCCCCTTATGAACTTGTACACGTTGTCGTTGTTACTTGCAACTCTTGCACGTTTTTGTAAGCGTAAACTTTGAAATTAATTTTTAAAAAAAACCGTTTGTATAATGAGCATTATCCGAGCATTTTAGTGACTTTTTTGGGGAGACCGAGCATGTTAGTGGGAAAAATGGAGCATTAAGGTGGAGCATTTTAGTAGGGAAGCAAAAGCATAATGTACAAAAGCCTAGTGCACGTGTCAATTGACCCTGGGGTCAATTAGCAGTTGTTTGAGGCAAAATAACCTCAAAATAATCAGTCTATTTTAGGAGCGTTCGCAAGAACACCAGACTAACTTTCAGATAATGTTCAAGTACTATATCTCATTGGGTAGTAACCGGGATTTGGGGTGATTTGGAGAATTCCCCCATATAGAAAATTCGATTTGGTTTTGGCGGTAAATTGTTGTATTTATAAGCATTATGCAAATTACGTTTCAATATTGTGCTCGTTCGTCGATGTTTTATTCTCTAAATCCAAAAAATGTGCTGTTTAGAAATTGTTAGACATCTGTTTTTTGAGATTTAAGTGGAAGATTGACAATATATTCGCTCGTTTATGAAAGTCAGGGATTGCCGTGTTCGGCGGCTAATTTTAGGCCCGCAGACCGTTGAAATCGAAAATCTCAAATAATTCCCAAATTCGGCCACATTTTGAAATTTAAACCTCAGCAGTGTTATAAATTCATTAAATCGTTATTACAGACTTAAAATAAGGGTAGGTTAGGTTTTGAGCTGTGGCCACGGTTTGCTCGATTTTTCTGTGCATTGACGCTCTTAAAAGTTGCCAGAATGTCCAAACAGATAATTTATGATACTGCGTGGAATACATTCGCAGATCAGAGTAGATCGAAGTAGACCTGATATTCATCATTGATCACGACCTTGTCAAGTGTTCATTCACCTTCTAAGCAATGAAGAGAAATCTGCACGTTAGCCGGGATTCTGCACTGATTTTTAAGGTCGATCTGCTCGCTTCTTCAACGTCGTCTTTTTACCCGATATAAGAAAAGTGCTGAACTATTCTGCCAGTATAGGTGAGTATTACAAGCGCTATAGAATAGGCGCTGGCCGAAGCCTAATGCTCCCAAAACTTGTCTATACCCATCCCTAACAGGAGCTCTTCAGTCACTGCTGTGTCACGCAGTTTAACCAATTTCAGTCATTGAGAGCAAATTGAGGGGAACATAAAAATAACCCAGTAATAGAGCAATGAGGGAACATTCAAATAACACAGAAAATACTAGCTAAATACCTTTGAGACAAAAACAAAGAATGTTGTTCTAGTGTTTGGTGAACCTTGTTTTTTCAAAGTTTTATGTAGTTGTAACATTAAATGAAAAAAGCTCGGGATCTAGGCACATTGTATGCCATAAAGCTATGATTTCCTTTCCTTTGCGAAGTTGCCGTTTCTTGGCAAGCAAGAGGCAAAACTTCACTAACTGGACTGAAACGCCATCAACAAGATTTTCCTAAAGCCCTTATAGTCACAAGCCGGTAATTCCCCCTAACACAAAGGTCGTAAGTTTAAAAGAAAGGGTCATCCAGGATAAATGTGTTGATTAAAAGAAGAAAGACTTTCTTATGTAAAGCTCTAACGGTGTAAAATGAATGGAGATCAGTTGGAAGAGTTAGAAAAATTAAGAGTAAAATAAGATCCATGAATGGGATAGGAGTGTTAAATGTTTGCAATTTTCTCTTCTCCGCTTCCTATTGATTCGAGAAGAATATCCTCTTAACAATTCATCTTGCAAAAAATAACAGAATTTGAATAAAGAAAACAAGGAATTAAAATCCAGTTGAAAGGTAAAGCCGCGATCTTTGTTTTTGAATTACTGAAATCGTCCCGGCCACTCCTCCCTCTTAAGAGCAAGTAAACTATACTGTTCTAAATCACTGTTATTGTAACTTGAAAAGTTAAAAAAAAAAGTGAAGAATTTTAAAACGTTACTTGATGTAACTGTTCAAAAACGATCGAGAATACTGAGTAGAAGTCAGATACTTATATACTCAGCTTGAGTGTGCCTTACAACTAGTAAACTGGGGAGTATGTGACGTTTTCTGAAATGCAAACAGATAACCACTAAAGTCGAACTTAAATGCAATGCATATCGAGGTTTGTACAATGGTTTGGTGAGGAGAGTGAACGAACATTTCAGCGTAAAGCGTGTAACTTGATTAGCTGTAGCAGGACTTATGTCTAAAATCATGCCCTATGTGACGTAGAGATGTTACGCAATTGAATATTGCTGACTTGAGATATTATTGGACGAAATGAATTCTTCACATACCAATATTCAGTTAATGCTATATGTTATAACTCGTCGAACTAAGCCGTGCTCTAGTTTTCTTCTTAGCATTGTTCTTGACTGCAGAAATGGATGCAAACGCAAAGGTTTGACGGTAACGTGGACTGACTGAGTCGCCCGGTAAGTCACTTTCCAAACTTCCTTTTCACCTTCAGATTTAAGGTCATGATCGAAAAGGAACAGGAGGGTTACGTTAGGAGATCCGCATTCCCAAATTTTCTGTCTCAAAAGACTATCATAGCCATCCTCAATAGGGAATCAGACACTAAGTGCTCCCTTTAATTCTGCATGACCCCTTGTCTTTAGCATTATTCACGCATTGACAACCGGCTGTTGCTCTAACTCGCAGGCTAACCTTTCTTCTTGGCTGGGTTTTTTGCAGGAAGAAGATAAAACGTTTGCGTAAAAAGTGCGGGTATTAATAGTGATTCCTGTACGGATAGCACACTCTAAGAATTCTAGCACGAGCCGGACAGGTTTCCATACAAAAACAGCATTGATTCTATAACTTAACGCCATTTATTGCGATGTTTCTTCACAGTTACCTGAGAAACACTTCTTTCGTTCTTCGCATAAAGTAGCACCCAGCTTAGATCTTTTTAGTTAGTTTGATTATATAGTGAATTCCTCATTTTCAGTTATTCATCTCATTGCTTCCTTTTCCTTTTGAATAGTGAATATTTGTTTTAAAAATGGTTGCCTTCAAGAGACTACTGAAATGGACGTTTGCACTCTGCCTGTTGACAGTGATTCAGGAGAAAACAGCGAACATTTTTGCAGGTAAAAGTCCCCATTTCATGCTTGGACGTATCATTTGCTTCTTGACCTTAAAGAGAGTCCCATAACCCAGGTTTAAGGGCTGCTACCTTAAGGACGTTCGTTGGCGTATCTAGGGGAGGGTCGGAGGGGATCAAAGCTTTTTTGCGTTGCTTTTAGGCCAAAACAGAAGCCTGTAGGGCCGAGCGCGAGGGTGCTGTCATTGAATGCTTCGTTTCCTCAAAGAGAGCGCCCCAGTTCAGTTCACGGTAGGAGAACAAGCATAACCGCGAGATCCTTCATTGACTATAAAACCACCAAGAGGCTGCTAAAATTTGGTATCAAACATCGTGCCGGAGCGGTTTTCCGAGAGGATTTGGTGAACTCCCAGCCCTTACTCCTGAATATATACTTCCGTCTCAGTGAATTCCAGTCCTCGCACCTACTTAAGCGCTTCCGCTATGGTCTGAATATCTAGCTTCCGCTACGGTCTGAGCTTTTCAAACTGAACCAAAGTATGGCACAGAACCTGTCCGATATGTGACGCTCCAATTCTCGAGATCGGCGCGACGCAGCTTCGCTCCGTTACAGTAATCACGCCGAAATCACCGTTCCTATGTGTAAACAGAAGCCTTATCGGCTTAGGTTTTCGTGCAGGCGCAAAAGGTATCCGGTTTCGTGTAAAAAGCCTTAAAAGACTGCGTTTTACATACATTTAACTACGAATAGAGCTTTTTACCGATACGGCGGCCATATTGAATTAATTAGATTTAAGGAGTATTATAGGATGCCCATGCATGGGGCATGAGCCATTTCGTTTGTATTTTCGGGCGCTTTTCGGGACATTTTTTCTTAAAGTTTTCTTAGAATAAGATTGTAATGGGAAAAAAGATCTTTGTGCCGTGTTTGGATGTAATAATGATCGCCTTTTTTCTGAGAAATATACGGTGAAAGACCATATTTCTAATACTAGACTAGAAAAAGGCGATCATTATTACATCCATTACATCCCCTTAAAATTAGGTCCACTTATATTAATTACATGCTATAATTGAATAACCAACTTTGTTTAAATAAATTGCAGAAGCTAAAAAGTTCCTCCTTTTCACCGATGCTGATGCCAAGGCCACATATACCATTTCTTTGGATGCAAGTCCTCTCGTCGCCAAAGGCTTGTTCCGTCATCTTGGAAATCAACGCCCAATTGCTGTGGACTACGACCCTGTAGAGGACCGCGTATATTGGACTGATGTTGCAGAAGGTCGTATCCTTAGCGCTTTTTCCAATGCGACTTGGATGAAATTTTTGGTTGACTGCAATGTAAAAGTACCCGACGGCTTAGCTATTGACTATGTGGGTCGGAATATCTACTGGACAGACACAGGAACTAATCGTATTGAAGTAGCTCGTCTTGATGGAACGAAAAGAAAAGTGCTCATTAAGAATGGACTTGACGAACCGAGAGCCGTAGTACTCGATGAAAGAAATGGGTGAGTAAAGGGTATAATATTCCTGTGACAGTCATGGTAACAAACGATTTTCTGAATTGGAAAAGAGCACCTATAAAAGTTGGCCGAATGATACTCTGAGTGGCCTAGGATGGCTAAAGCAGGTGCCCAGGCGGCGTGATACCCGAGGCGAGGCGGCCTGGGTTTGTAAAATTCTGTTGGAGACTTATTACTGAGCTTTAACTCTATATTACGTCTTTAAAGGTGATGTTACAGGTGACGATTCGCAACGACGATTTTTAGCGCAACACAGAGTTAGAATGTTGGAACAATGTTGTAACCATGAAAAACAATGTCGCAGCAATGTTGCCACGCTGCATTGCGCTAAAAATTGTGGTGGCGAATTGTCTCCTGTCGCGGGGGACACCTCGGGCTCATTGTTATGCATTTATTTAAAGTGTTCACATGCACGTCAAAATCTAAATCCGGATTTCCCAATCGAACGCACTCTCAATGTTGTGCCCAATTCAAATCTCCCGGGGTCAAGATTCTTTGGGTACTGTATTTGCATTATAATGTTGCATTCACATTTAAATGATATGGAAATTCCTGAAACAAAACGTTTTATACCCAAAGGGTTTGAATTGGGTACAACATTTAGTTAGCGGAATAGGTCTATAGAGGTTTTGACCGATCATTTACTAATAAAATCAAAGAGTGCTGTTTTCTATTCTTTCCCGGCAAACTTGGACACTAAATCACAATTTCCCAAATTGGTAAAACTGGTACAACTGTGTGGCTTTAAGAATCGCTGCAAAGGGCGCTCTACCAAATAAAAAACAACACTCCTAAACTTCCATCATTTCACAATGTCTGTCAATGCGTTTTAAAAGATGCAGTACAAGCAAAATTTTGCCTTATGAATTAAAAATTGATTGGTATCCCCCACGGCCTTAAGGTGACTCGACCCAGTTTTTTTTGGGGGGTACCAACCTACTTTGAAGCTCTCTGGTATCCCCACCTTTACTTTTATCGTAAGTTTAACACATAGAGTGGATAACATATAGATCAATCTACAATATAAGATAAAATTTTTGGCGATCGGAGTAAATGTCACGTGGTTATAACGCCACGCCCCTTTGAGGTCTGAGTCGAAAATCTGCTGTTGCCCGCATTTTTTCGTGAAAATTTCTCGGCTACATATAGTGCGCATTAGTGCCTTGCGCTGAACAGAGTTTCTCCAAAATCGCAAAGACCCAATTCGAGAAATTCAGCGGTTTCCAAATTTAGGTCATAATTTATGCGAAAATGATAAGCAAACTTTACACGATTATATCTAATAAACTATGAGATTTATCCCTTTATTTTGGGGATCGTTATAACAGATGGGTCCTTGCAAGTCAGCAAAACGCTTTAGGGCCTTGTAAATGCGCGCGATTTCGAGCAGATCAAACATATAGAAATTATAATTTTCGCTATTTGTTGACGTTTGTCAGCGTTTAAGAGTCCTTCTCACGAAAAAAGCATTTTCTTAAAAATTCGTAGTTTTTTTTCCTTCAAATTTTTTCAGTGCCACAATTGATTAACTAACTACCCGAACTCTGAATTTCATGGTCATTGAAAAACTTTGACATTATCTTCTATAAGCCCAAACTTGAGTAAACATTGTAGATTTTTAGCGTTTTGGCTGAGTTTGTGCTTTGGGAGTTGTCTATCGTTTCTAGTCTGTCATACAGCATTCTTGTTCAGCACGCGTGCAATGACCACGCTTGGCTGACTTGCAGATTTTCGACTCAGACCTCAAATGGGCGTGGCGTTATAACCACGTGACATTTACCCCGATCGCCAAAAATTTTATTTTATATTGTAGATTGATCTATATGTTATCCATTCTATGTGTTAGACTTACGTTAAAAGTAAAGGTGGGGATACCAGAGAGCTTCAAAGTAGGATGGTATCCCCCCAAAAAAACTGGGTCGAGTCACCTTAAATAAACGAAAATGTCGGATCAAGTAATAATTGTGACACGTATTACTTCCTTTTGGCAAGGTTCCTCGGATTACCTTAAGTATCTGTCGATAAATAACACCTATCTTAAAAACCTAGAGTTACTGATTTTCTTTAAACAGGATGATGTATTGGACAGACTGGGGATCAAATCCAAAAATAGAGAACGCTGCTATGGATGGCTCATCAAGACGAACCATTGTAACAGGAAGTCTTCGTTGGCCAAATGGATTGACTATTGATCGAACAACTAACCTTCTGTATTGGGCGGATGCTAAACTGGACAAAATCGAAGTTTCTAACTTGAACGGTGGTAATAGAAGAGTTATTATGTCATCTTCAGCCAACATTTTCCCATTTGGCCTGACTGTTTATAAGGGCGTGTTATACTGGACTGACTGGATACACAGGAGCATTTCGCGGTATGATTTAAGCAGTGGAAACACGAATGTAATCATCACAGGACTTAGAAAGCCAATGGACATTCACTTGTATGATTCTTCTGTTAACGTTTCAGGTATCTTGCACCTGTTTCAGCGTCTAGTACAAAAAAAGTAATCAATGCATACTTTTTCGTCAACCCTTGGAGAGATACTCTTTTCTTACATATTCTAATGGCAGGCAAAATGATCGTGTATCAGCATCGGTATCATCCTTTAAAAACACAAATTCTTTTTATTTTGACACCCAACCCCATACAACTCATGACTAGTGTTTATAAGCCATTCGCACCAATTAAGAAGCCATGGCTAAGTCACCACCAAATGACCCGATCGTCTGAGCAAGGAACAGCCAATGTGATGTTGCCTGTTTTTTTTTTGTTTTGTTTTCTGATGAGCCTAGTTCATAATCCCCGACAAACGACCTCGATCTGGTGGTGTAAAAGTAACTTTTCACCTCTCCCTCCCCTAACCTAATGTTAACCCTAACTTTTTGTTGGATTGGGGGAGGGGTATGTAGGTAGTTTATCAGGTGGCCTCGTCCTGAGCTGGGAGTTTGGAACTACATTGCGATATGGAGAGATCGGCACTTCGCAAATCACCTGCTCAAGACGTAACTGTGTGTCCTCTCACTCGGCTGACACCTCAATCCAACATTTTTACTATTTTTAACGTGTCTTAATATAGTGTTTATTTTTACTTCACCAGGTTCTCATCCGTGTGCTGTTAACAATGGCTTATGTAGCGATTTGTGTCTTCTAAAGCCTAGTGGAAGTTACAGATGCGCATGCCCAACAGGCATTGCACTCAAGTCTGATGGAAAAACCTGTGATTATGGTGAGATTCAGTGAAGTAGAGGGGGTGGGGAGGGGGGCGGGGGGGCGGACGGGAGGCCAGTAATAAGCATATGTCGTATACTTGGATCATAGGTATACGAAAAAAGTACGAGCCGGGCGCTATTGGAGTATTGCTCCTCCTCTTGAATCTAAGAAAATACCTTGATGTCAGGTTTCTTTTAAGGAAAGGAAATCTTCTTTGTAATACTACTTCTACACCTTGAAACAAGAGGAGGGTGGGTGGCGTGGATCCGTAAAACATTTATTTCCCTCATTTTCTGAATATGATCTTTTGGGCTCCCTCTGAAACAACCTCCATTAATTCCCTTCTAAACCTTGTCCTCCAGTCTTTTATATATGACAAGCGTGGTTTTTTGGGAGCCTTCCCATGACTTCTCCTATCCTATTTTTCAAAATTTAGAACACTGAATACAACAAAGCCATGCCAGTAATTTGAAAAATAATGAATTCAATTTCATTTCTTTGTTTCTCTTAGATACTTTCAAGAGCTTGAGTTCTGACAAGTTCCTGCTTTTCGCAGAAGGGAGCAGTGCACGAATTTACAAAGTTCCTCTGGCTGTTCCAGAGACTCCTTGCTCTCCTCTAGGGATCAAAAGCAACATATCCAGACCCGTTGCAGTTGATTACAATCCAGTTGAAGGCAAAGTCTACTGGACTGACGTGACTTTGAAGCAGATTGTTAGATCTTATCCCAACGGGTCCGATCTTGAAGTAATAGCGGAGCGTAATGTGGAAAATCCTGATGGAATAGCAGTTGATTGGATTGGGAGGAATGTTTACTGGACTGATTATCGAACTAGTAAGATTGAAGTGTCACGATTGGACGGATCATACAGATTTAGCCTCATTACATCTGGTTTGGACAATCCTAGAGCTGTGATACTTGACATAACTGCTAGGTAACAAGATAAAAAATAGAGAATACAACTAAAGGAGAACTTAAAGGTATATTTTCGTCAGTAAAAACATGTTTAAAAGATGTTCCAGTTTTGTAAGGAAGCACTTGAAGCTTGTAAGGAAGTCTGGTGTTATAAGGACCCAATCGGTTTGACCCAACAGCAAAGAAATCGAGTATATCCAGTAAAATAATGTTTGAATATTTTATCTTTTGCTGTCCTATAGAAAGATGTACTGGAGCGACTGGGGAACGTATCCCAAAATCGAGCGAGCTAACATGGACGGCTCATCTAGAACAACCCTTGTCAGTTCAGGTTTGATATGGGTGAACTCACTGGCTTTGGATTTCAAAAAGAGGCTTCTGTACTGGTGTGACGCAAGACTTGATAAGATTGAAAGAGTAGATCTTCAAGGAAATAACCGCAAGCTGATAATGGATTTGTCAAGTCGTAGCGCCCGTTATCATCCGTTTGGACTCGCCTTATTTGAAGATACACTGTTCTGGTCAGACTGGCTGACTGAAAGCGTTCACAAGTACAACATGACGTCGTCCGTTAGCAGTGTCCTGGTCTACGGGATGTATTACCCTATGGAAATTCACATGCACGATCACAAGACACTCCCCTCGGGTAAGTGGAATGTATTACTACATGGAAAATAGTGATAACAGGCGAGTGAGTCGACACAAACATCAAATATTGTCAATAGTAGAAGCAGCTAGAAGTAGATGAATTAGTGTTCAAACTTAATTCCCATTAGTTTATGAGGTCACCTTATGTTACACTTCAGGAACTACCAGCTGTTCTCGTTTCAACGGAGGATGCAGTCACATTTGTCTTCCAAATCCTAGTGGCCATCAATGTTTCTGCCCCGAAGGAGTGCAGCTAAAGCCTGGTGACTCGTACATATGCCAAGGAGGTGGGTGGATGTCTCCAATAGTAATCTGGTTTTTCTTTCTTCTCTTTAGTTTTGGCAAATATATGACTTCACCCTTCAGTGACTTCCCTAAACGAAAGTTTTAGTCTTAAAAAATCCATAATCGAAAACACCAGTAAACGATATTGAAGTCTAAAATGTAATGTAATTTTGAGTATCAGCTTTCCTAACCACATGCTCTTATTTTCTTTATAACGTAGCAAGCCGCTGTCCTCGGCTCTCCGCACCTAGCCATGGCCGTTTAGGGTCTTGTTCTAATGTTCCGGGACAAAGTTGTCAGATATCATGTGACAGGGGATACATACTGAGTGGGTCAAGTATACGCACGTGCAGAAATGATGGAACATGGACTGGACTACAAACACAATGCACCAGTGAGTTGCCTGAGTGATTGAAAGAGCGTTTGACGAGTACTAACGATTTTAGTTGCAGTAGAAAAGTGTCTAGTAGTTAAGTTAATAAAACCTTGGTTTGCAACGCACTGCCTTGATAACTTTTACACATTTTTGTATCATTGTAAGTCTTAAACTTGCTAAAAAGAGAGTATTTTTTCCAGTCCTTTCTTTTTTCCGATGAAAGGCTTGAATAAAAGGCAATCATTTTTGCTAGTATATCTGTGCCTGTATCTTTGGCTACTCAAGTTTAAATATACCATTATTGACTTGATAACTATACGCTAGAAAACTTCAATAGAAATGATGTAAAGGACGTTAATTTGTGACGTAGTCACGGAAGTACACGGTCTCTGCTAACTAAATAGGCGCTATTTTTCTGCAGTTGTCACGTGTCCAGCGTTACCTTCACCAGTAAATGGGGGTCGTCGGGGCTGCTCAGGGATACGAAGAGAACCTTACAACACGATCTGTCAGTTTTCCTGCCATCCAGGATTTAACGGATTTGGTTCTGCACGAAGAACGTGTCTCCAAACTGGAAGCTTAGCCGTGACAGTCTTTCAATAGTTCCATCTTTCATGTAATATATCAAACATGAGATGCAAAGTTTCATCACCAGATGAAACACCGAGTTCCATCTTTCATGAACTATCTGTGATAAACAAATCCATATTTTTCTCAAACAAAATCATTTTTGAAGGAGAAATTAAGGATGCAAATACTAAGCAGTGTTTCATCCGATTTCCAAACACACATTAAACATTAATTTCCTTTGTATTTTCTTCATGAATTATTAATGAGTTTGAGAAGTAGTGTAAACAAATCCACTTTTTCAAAAATAGGAAGATTTAAATATACTGGCATATACTGAACTATGCCTGAATGAAATGTTTTTGCCTTGATCTGCTAGCTGTTACCTGTCCAGCAGTCGTCACACCAATAAAAGCTGTTCTGCTGACTCCTTCCTGTAAAAGGACGTATGGGTCAAGATGCACATATTCCTGTCAAACCGGATACACCAGTTCAAATGGAAATGTCACGCGAACCTGTTTAGCATCTGGGCAATGGAGTAGAAATGAAATCATCTGTAAAGGTAATCAAACGGCCAAATTACCCTAGTTGCCGGAATAAAGATAATTTCAAAATGTAAAAAAAACCGCTCTATTGTTGAACTATTTTTGTAACCATGTACTAAACAACGTAGCACTTTAAGGTTTTAATTCTGACCTGCATCAGGTTACGTATCTCATCATTCCTTTCTATTATGTTGTAGTTATAAACTGTACCTCGCTCTCGGTAAATCCAAAAGGTCCTTTGCGCATGAGCAGCTGTAGCAATCATTACGGATCAAGATGTATCTTCTCCTGTGATATTGGTCATCAGTTAAATGGTTCATCAACTCTGACATGCGTTACCTCTGGTAACAGGCCTCCGGGATTCTGGGACAACCCTATGCCTGTATGTCAAAGTAAGTTTATAAAACGGCAATAACGTGGCCTTGTAACGGATGAAAATTACACGAGCTTGATGTTGTGAATAAACTGTAACTTTTTTCTTTTTTAGTTATCAACTGTCCTCAATTGACCACCCCACCTAAAGCCGTACCGCTGACCGTTCCCTGCACCAGTACGTACGGGTCAAACTGCTCATATTCCTGTCAAACTGGATATACCAGTTTAACTGGAAATGTTACAAGAACATGTCTGTCGTCGGGCAATTGGAGTGGTAGCGATATCAGATGTACAGGTAACTAATCTCACATGAAATGCGTTTTCAATTTCATACATGACCGGTGTAACTTTCAATGTACCCTCCCACGTGCACGTTTCTAGGGTTCGTCTCGCGTTCCTCCACATAACAAAGCCCTTAGTTAACCTCAGCAGAAGGCTACTTAGAATGATTAGCTTACTTGTTTGTGTTGAATAGCTCTTCCCAGATAAAGAAACTCTCTTTGTGGGATAATTTCAAACTTTTACCTGTAATCAAAAGCTGATTATCTGTTACAGATGTTGATCCGCCATCTTTTGGCTCAACATGTCCATCAAGCCCGCTGATTACGCATGCAGAACGAGAGAAATTTTCAGCCTTGGTGACCTGGACCGAGCCAGTTGCCACTGACAGCACGGGAGTTTCACCGACAGTGACGTCAAATCACCAGTCGCCAACAAGGTTCAGTCAAGGAACTCACGTGATCACATACACAGCTCTGGACCAATCAGGAAATAAGGCTACTTGTAGCTTTACAGTTCAAGTGTTAGGTAACAATATTAATCACAATCGTACGTATTTCCACCTGACTTGAAAGGGTTCTGTATCTTTTGGGCATCAGCTGCCAGAAAGAAGGGAACGAAACGCCGCAAATCATGAACGTAAAAATTCAGAGTCACACAAAGTGATGTTTGATTGAAGTTACGACACAAGAAATGAGAAAAAATACTGCTTTCTTTCTGCTGGGAAATAATCATAGATAAAAGCAATTATTAAAGTAACTGGCTCCAGGACCGGAGTTTCCAATCACAGTAAACCCTTATCATATGTAGTTTTTTGTTAACTGTACGGGGTTCTTCTGATAATACCTGGACAATGTTCTGCTGGTAATTGTGTAATGCATCAGGTTATGTTACTTATCATTCCTTTCCCTTATGTTCTAGTTATAAACTGTACATCACTCACCGTAAATCCAAAAGGTCCTATGCGCATGAGCAGCTGTAGTAACCATTACGGATCAAGATGTAACTTCTCCTGTGATATTGGTCATCAGTTAAATGGTTCATCAACACTGACATGCGTTACCTCTGGTAACAGGCCTCCGGGATTCTGGGACAGCCCTATGCCTGTATGTCAAAGTAAGTTTATAAAACGGCAATAACGTGGCCTTGCAACGGATGAAAATTACACGAGCTTGATGTCGTGAATAAACTGTAACTTTTTTCATTTTCAGTTATCAACTGTCCTCCATTGACCAGCCCACCTAAAGCTGTACCGCTGACCGTTTCCTGCACCAGTACCTACGGGTCAAACTGCTCATATTCCTGTCAAACTGGATATACCAGTTTGACTGGAAATGTTACAAGAACATGTCTGTCGTCAGGCAACTGGAGTGGTAGTGATATAAGATGTACAGGTATAGTAACGAATGTCACATGAAATGTGTTTCCAATTTCATGACCAGTGTAACTTGCAATGTACCCTCCCACGCGCACGTTTTTAGGGTTCGTCTCGCGTTCCTCCATATAACAAAGCCCTTCGTTAAACTCTGCAGAAGGTTACTTAGAATGATTAGCTTACTTGTTTGTGTTGAATAGCCCTTCCCAAATAAAGAAACTCTCCTTGTGGGATAATTTCAAACTTTTACCTGTAATCAAAAGCTGATTATCTGTTACAGATGTTGATCCGCCTTCTTTTGGCTCAACATGTCCTTCAAGCCCACTGATAGCCTTTGCAGAACGAGAGAAATTTTCAACCTTAGTGAACTGGACCGACCCAGTTGCCACTGACAGCTCAGGAGTTTCTCCAACAGTGACCTCAAATTACCAGTCGCCAACAAGGTTCAGTCAAGGATTACACGTGATCATATACACAGCTGTGGATCAATCAGGAAACAAGGCTGTTTGCAACTTCACAGTCCACGTTTTAGGTACCAAATAGTCACTTCCACTTCAAAACTTTTAAAAACATCAAAAGCTTGTGAGGGAGAAAAGAAAGGTAGCAGTTTCGAAATACATACACCCTCTCTCTTGGCATCAGACCAAAGACTCTTGCTGCTAATTTGGAAACATTTACGTTATGTTTTCCAGTTATCAACTGCACGTCGCTCAGTGTAACCCCTGGAGGTCCTTTGCGCATGAGCAGCTGTGGTAATCATTTTGGATCAACATGTAACTTCTCCTGTGATATTGGCCATCGGGTAAATGGCTCATCAACATTAACATGCGTTACCATTGGTAACCGGCCTCCGGGATTCTGGGACAGTCTTATACCTGTATGTCAAAGTAAGTTTATAGAACGACAATAACGTGGCCTTGGTGCGGATAAAAATTACACGAGCTTGATGTCTTGAATAAACCCGCAACATTTTCATTTTCAGTTATCAACTGTCCTCCATTGACCACCCCACCTAAAGCCGTATCGCTGACCGTTCCCTGTACCAGTACGTATGGGTCAAACTGCTTATATTCCTGTCAAACTGGATATACCAGTTTAACTGGAAATGTTACAAGAACATGTCTGTCTTCAGGCAATTGGAGTGGTAGTGATATCAGATGCACAGGTAACTAATCTTACATGAAATTTGTTTCTTGTTTTATAAACAAAAATGCCTGTAGTGACAAACTAGTTATTTTGGGGTTTTGCTGATAGACAAAAGCTATCGTAGGGAGACATCTCGTTAAATTGTAATTTCTTTGAGGAATAGCTGTTAATATATTTCAGATATATTTCCGCCGTCATTTGGCTCATCATGTCCCTCAAGCCCGTTGATATTCTGCGCCGAACGAGATAAATTCTCAGCCTTGGTGAACTGGACCGAGCCAGTTGCCGCTGACAGCTCAGGAGTTTCCCCCTTAATGATGTCAAATTATCGGTCGCCTGCAAGGTTCAGCCAAGGAACTCACGTGATCACATATACTGCTGTGGATCAATCTGGAAACAAAGCTACTTGCAACTTTACAGTTCAAGTATTAGGTAAGAATAAATCAGCCAAGGAAACAAAGTAATGCAGCAAATAATTAATTGCTTCCCTGTTTCTTTATGTTCTAGTCATCAATTGTACATTGCTGTCAGTAAAGCCTAACGGGCCTTTGCGCATGAGCAACTGTGGTAATCATTACGGATCAAGATGTAACTTCTCCTGTGATATTGGGCATCAGTTGAGTGGCTCATCAACATTAACATGCCTCGCCTATGGTAATCGACCGCCAGCATTTTGGGACAAACCTCTACCTGTATGTCAAGGTTAGTCTCGACAAGACGAGTTGTTCTTTGTTAGATTGAAAACTATACCTTATTTCGCTACCCACCACTGGTTTCCCCGCGAAATAACGTCTGAGGAAGAAGGGCAGAAAATTGCCTCATCCAATCAGAAGAACTACCCAGATCTGGGTGGTGACAGGTCATCAGTATGGAATTTTTGCGCTCGTTCCTCAGACGTCGTTTCGCGGGAAACCAGTAGTAGCGTCACAAAATGTCGGCTGTTATTTCAGGCTATTTATTAGTTCTCAATTGCTATTTTTTTAGTTATCAACTGTTCTCAGCTGATCACTCCAGCTAAAGGGGTTTTGCTGACCGTTCCCTGCAAGCGAAGTTACAGGTCAAACTGCTCATATTCCTGCCAACCTGGATATGCCAGTCTAATCGGAAATGTTACAAGAACATGTTTATCGTCAGGAAAATGGAGTGGTAGCAACATCAAATGTACAGGTAGTACATTTACCATTATCATCCTAAACATAAATAATAATAATAATAATAATAATAATAGCAATCTTTATTGGAGAATATCTAATCTAGTTCAGTCGCAAGTGCTTTACCGAGGGTCCGCCTACTGAATTACAAAATTACTTAACACTAATACGATAACGATATAACAAAACAATAAGTTTAATATGTAAAGAGTCTATGACTAATATCCATAGCTACAAAAAATGGAAATGAAAATAAAACGTTACTGTCCATAAGGTGCATTAAACGAATATTTTTTATACCTCTACTCGCCTGCACTTCGTGTTAGAATTGTTAATTCCCTAACCTCAATATAAAGTAACACCATAGGGTAACAAAAAACGTTCCAGCTGCTAATAACACAGTTGCACGCACCAGCCAAATCTCTCTTAAAACTAGAATTTATTGTATGACTATTATATGGATTTCAGATGTTGAGCCGCCATCATTTGGTTCTTCATGTCCTACTGGGCCGCTTGTAGCATACGCTGAAAGAGAAAGGTTCTCAGCTTTAGTGAACTGGACGGTGCCAGGTGCCACTGACAACTCAGGGGAGGTACCTACAGTGACGTCAAATTTCTATCCACCTCGAAGGTTCAGCCAAGGAACTCACGTGATCACATACACAGCTTTGGACCAATCAGGAAACAATGCTACCTGTACATTTACAATTGAACTCACAGGTAACGAAAAAGTCTCTGGAGACGTATTTTATGACACGTGTTATCCAAATTAAGATGTTTGTGCGAAGTAACGACTACAAAAACTAATCACCGGTGTTTATTATCATTATTTTTTTTTTTGCAGTTATCAACTGCACTATGCTGACTGTAGATCTTGGAAATCCTTTGCGTTTGAGCAACTGTGGAAATAATTTTGGATCGAAGTGTAATTTCTCCTGTGCGATCGGTCATCGTTTGAACGGTTCATCGACATTAACATGTGTTGCCCCTGGTAACAGACCTCCAGGATTCTGGGACAATTCTACACCTGTCTGTCAAAGTGGGTTTGGATCAATTTAGGTTTGCAGGAACTGTCCACCTACCCCTCCCCTAAGCGAACATTTTGCCCTACGTAAAAGAAGTAGAGAAGTAAGTGTTAATGCTGACTAAGGGGAGGGATAGGTGGTCAGTTCCCGAAAACCTAAATTGATAGTGTGTTACTTTAATGATTAAAAGACGTCCTTGTTGTAGTGTGGTTTTCAGTCATTTCATACTCACCCATTTATAAGTTGAAATTTAACCTTTTCGCCTCTCTTTTCTATTTGTTACAGTTGTCAAGTGTCCCACGTTGGTTATTCCCCCAAAAGCTATACTGTCGACCATTCCCTGCACCACGACTTACGGGTCAAACTGTTCCTTTTCTTGCCAAAGTGGGTATTCAAGCTTAACTGGGAATGTCACAAGAACCTGTTTGGCATCTGGAGAATGGAGTGGAAAAGCTATTAACTGTACAGGTAAAAAAATATAAACCACCTTATTAAGCTTCTGTCAATATTTATAAAACCACAAAAGTTAAGTGGATATCTTGATTTTAAACATTACTTCTTCTGTCATTTATCCTTCAATCAGGCGGTGTATGTAGGTATAACATTTCTGACTAGTTTTAGTAAACCTACAATTTTCGTCGTCGTACATTATCGACAACCTTAGTGCCAAGGGAGGATTCATTTGCAGCAAACTTGAAAAGCCATCAAATTTGCCCGGTTGAATTATTATAAGCTTAAAGACAACAAAACATATGTTCTAGATAGCAAACTCGACGCTAAACGCGCATGATAATAGAGAGGAATCCACGGTAAGTGTAAAGCTTCTTCCTTTGAGGCGTTGGGCGCAGTAACTCACTCACTCACTTAATTTCTTCATCCTCTCTGGCACAGTACAGAAGGGCAAAATAATACGTCGCCACTTATCCTTGTCCTGAGGTTTGGCCTGCCCCTCACCCCACGTTCAACTCATTTTCTCCAGCTCTTCACCATTCTCTGCCAGTTGGTTTTTAGCTGGCTTCTTTTCCATCTCGTAGTTTGAGTCTATCTCGTGGTATCTCTATTACTTAATTAATAGTCTGGGCAATTATTAAATTAACTTAAAAATGCGTTTGTATCTCAGATGTTGAGCCTCCATCGTTTGGTTCTTCATGTCCTACTGGCCTAGTGATAGCATATGCAGAATGGGATAAGTTTTCAGCCGTGGTGAACTGGACCGAGCCGGTTGCTACGGACAACTCAGGGCTGTCACCTAAAGTGACGACAAATTATCATTCACCTCAAAGGTTTGGTGAAGGAACTCACGTGATCGTATATAATGCAATGGACCAATCAGGAAACAAGGCTACTTGCACATTTAGAGTTGTTGTGACAGGTATAACAAATTATCTTGTTGGTGTCACGTACATTATGCTATTTAGCCTGCCTCGTACCTCGTTCCCAGACGTCTTTCTCTCGGTGAAAACTTGCGTGCAAAGGAAAGCGGAAAGGAGAAAACGAGCGATGCCCTTCGTCACACGTCACTTACCTTTCGAGCTCGCCTTTCTGCGAAAAACGAAGCGCCTGAGGAGGGGGCAGCTATTTAGCTCCTTACGAGAGAAACCTCTATCATTTTAATGACTTCATGACGGCAATACCTCAGGAAAATGGTCTGTTGTATTATTTTCTTTCAGTTATCAATTGCACGACGCTGACAGTAGCTTCTGGAGGTCCATTGCGCATGAACAGGTGTGGGAATCATTTTGGATCAAAGTGTAATTTCTCCTGTGCGGTTGGTCATCGTTTGAATGGCTCATCGGCGCTAACGTGTGTTGCCCCTGGAAACAGGCCTCCAGGATTCTGGGACCATCCCATGCCTTTCTGTGAAGGTTTGTCTTACTTATTCCTTTATCTTCAAGCCACTAGCTTTTTAGTTTTAAACACCAGAAGGGTGTTTGATGTCTTACTCAAACGCGGAAAAGTGCTCAGGGTGCCCAGTCTCCTTTAGAAGTTACGAGTTTGAAATAGCTGGTCTAAAAAGCGATAAATAAAAAAAGGTGACAAGCTACGCGCTTTGAAGTCAATTTATGAAATGTTTGTTCGTCGTTAATTGGTTACCTTGTAGCGTTTTCGAGACTTTTGGATACTGCATGAGACACCCTGAAAAGTTCGTACCGTTTTGACACGGTCGCATTTTCAAGTTTTCCAGAAATCTTGTTTCATTTTTGTTTATCTAGTTATCAACTGCCCTGTGTTGGATTCTCCGCCAAAATCGGCGCTATTAACCATTCCCTGTGTAAGAACTTATGGATCAAAGTGTTCGTTCACCTGCCAAACTGGCTACTCAAGCTTAACAGGAAACGTGACAAGAACATGCTTGGCTTCTGGACTCTGGAGTGGGAACAGCATTAACTGCTCAGGTAGAATGACTTCCTTGTTTTATATCAACCAGAACCCAGTTGTTCAAAAGATGGTTGGTGATATCCACAGGATAAACCTCTATCAAGTGAAGGCGTGCAATTGGTCTGCCCAATCGGCTTCTCCACTGGAGAGAGATTTATCCGATGGATAGCGCTATCCATCTTTTGTGCAACTGGGGCCTGATCTGGCCGTAGGTGATACATACCTTTTGCACATTTTAAGGTCCTTGAGATAAATAAGTGCGAAAAAGAGTCCTCGATGTTTCACTAAGCTGTTCGTTCGTTCGTTTGTTTGTTTGTTTGTTTTTCAGACATTCTCGCACCGTCTTTCGGTGTAACATGTCCTTCTGGGCCTCTGTTAGCGTACGCCAGACGAGACTCGTTTTCTGCATTAGTCAACTGGACCGAGCCAGTTGCTACTGACAATTCAGGGGTCAAACCTAGAGTGACGTCAAATTACCAATCGCCTCAGTGGTTTGGCCAAGGAACTCACGTGATCAGATCCACTGCTGTGGACCAATCAGGAAACAAGGCTACTTGTGTCTTTGCGGTGACAGTCATAGGTAATGAAATGTTAAAAATTTTCTTAAAGAGTTGTTATGGTTAAGACTACTACTAGCCAAGATTTGAGATTAGAAAGCATTATTGTTGTTAATGGTCACGTAATTCTAAGTGACCAGTGAAGTTGGTAACTTATGGAAGCCTCAGGATGTAACGAATCAGAGCGCAGGGTCACATGATGTGAGTTCTTCGCTTTGCTTGGCTACATTTAAGGTGTTTCCCTTCACTACATTTTAGTATACTGTATTTGTCCGGTAATAAATTAAAGAATCTAAACTTATTTTCACAAAAGAGTCGATGTGAAAATTCAATTGATACACTTAGCTTTGTGATTGTCCTTATTGCTTCTTTGTACTTAGAACTTGTGGTGAGAAACATGGAATTTGGTGAATTTACTTATCATTGTTATTTTTTATCATTATTATTCAGTAATCACGTGTACACCAATGACAGTAGATCCTAAGGGTCCACTACGCATGAACAACTGTAGCTACCATTACGGCTCAAAGTGCACCTTTTCCTGTGCTGTTGGATATCGCTTGAATGGCTCATCTACAGTCACGTGCGATGCCCCAAGAGAGAGACCTCCGGGAGCATGGGACAACCCTATCCCTATGTGTCAAGGTAGGGAAAGCTGCAGTGGCGGATCCGGACCTTGATGGGAGGGGGGAGGGTGGGGAGTGGTGTCGTCCAGACCTTCAGATAAGGGGGAGGGGGGGTGGTGTCGTCCAGACCTTCAGATGGGGGATCCGGGGTGGTGTCCTTCAGATGGGGGGGGGGGGGGGATGGTGTCGTCAGACCTTTAGACCCTGTCGTCCAGACCTTCAGATAAGGGGGAGGGTGGGGGGTGTCCCAGACCTTCAGAAAGGGGGGGAGGGTGAGGGTAAGTCGTCCAGACCTTCAGATAAGGGGGGACCCGGTCTAAAAAAAAATAAGGGGCCCCCTTAGCCCCTCCGCTGGATCCGCCACTGGGTAAGCTTTATTTTGTTGGTGTTGTCATTTACTTTATCTTTGTCATTGTCATTGTCATGGTGTTCCTCTCTTTAACATAATCATGATCGTTATTTATGAACATAATTGTCATAATCATTTCGATTATTATCACAATTAGCTTATTTATGCTCATAATCCGAGTGATTTTAGTCCTGAATAGGACTATTTGTTGGCAGTAAATGACATTTCTTTGGACACCTTGCGTGGAAGTTATCTTTAGGGTCAAAGTGATGAATTATACATCTTCATTTGGTGGCGGTGTTCGTTTTAAGGGAGCTTAAGCAACAGCGTTTTTGAGCGATGGACGTCGACCGAAAGTGGACTTTTTCATCATTGGGCGGTGCTTTGGTTAAAACCCTCGGGTAAATCGTCTTTTTAAGAGAAAAGAAATTTAGAAGGCCTCACTTCCGGTTGAAGTGCGTCGCTCAAAAACGTCTTTCTTATCATTATTATCATCGTCATCATCATCGTTGTTATCAGTTATTTAAAAAAAAAATCGTTTCTTTATCTTCGTTAGTTATTCGATGCCCCTCGCTACCTATTCCAGCCAATGGAGTAAAGACAGGATGTCGTGATCCTCTATCAGAGCGTTATGGTACGATTTGCAGTTTCTCTTGTAATATTGGCTACAACCTGACCGGTTCATCAAGGCGTCAGTGTTTGGAAAATAAGACTTGGAGTGGAATCACATCCTCTTGCCAAGGTGAGCAGACTGTCCATAGGTTGCCTTTTTTTGTACAAATTGAGGGGATAAAAGACCATCCTGGTACCATAGATTAAATGACATCATAAATTATCATGGACAGTTGTTGGTCTCGTTGTCCTGCGCGATATCTTAATATAGTCCATTGTGGTGTTATAGAAAAGAAGGATGGCGATCATTTTAAATTTTACTAACTATTGGATTTTTCAGAATAGTCCTAGAGTTGAACGTTTCTTTTTTTTGCCACGCGTCAAAAAATAATATAAGATTGATCACTTCGCTGCACTCGGAAGGGTTTAAACCATGTGAAAATTAATTAGTATCGTTAATGAAATTTCTGACCCCACTTTCCTGATCCAAGCCTGTTGAAAAAATACTTGTTTCATTTTTTTTCTCGTCGAGTAAATACCAGGGCGCCGCTATACACTATATATTATGATTATCTATTTAAGTATATTCATAATTTTATTGTTTTTGTATTTCGGATTTTATGCTATACACACCACTAGGTTGTAGCTTTAACTGTCACCGTCTATTTGAAAACAAGTTGTTGATGTTGTCGATCAAAAAAAAAATTCAACTATTGTTCTCTACTTTTTTTTTAGTGATAAACTGTAGTGCACTCACTCCACCTGCCAATGGTGCCGTGTCTCCACGCTCCTGTTTAACAAGAAGCACCTATGCTCAGACCTGCAGCTTTTCTTGTGTAACAGCAGGATACGTTCTTGAGGGAACTTCTGCGAGGGCATGTGGCGGTGATGGAAAATGGTCGGAAAAGAACGACACACTTTGTAAAGGTTAATCATCTTCATGTGTATTTTTTGCTTCCCTTCTTAATCATGATGTCTATTGTATGTTATTAGACAGAGGCAGAATAAAACCATGATACGACCCGAGCCATTTGGAGGTTCTTGTGATTAGAGATTACTTGTTATTTCATAATACGAAATACAAAATCAAGCGTTAGTGGTGAGTATTACGTGAATATATAAAAGTAAATAATTGTAGTAGGAAGATGGGGTGGGGAAGGGGTTGAATGTGGTGAGGGAGAAAAATAATCTATTTCGTCTCTCATTTGCTTATCAATGTAAACGCCTCTTATCTAAGTGGAGTTTTCATCGGCTACATCTACAAGAAAAGGGTGGTGGCAGAAACAAACCAGTACTAGCTTCCTCATTAAAGCGGTCTTTAACAAAAGGATTTGCATACATTATTTACAGACAACACACCTCCTTCGTTCAACGGCACTTGTCCAAGGAACTTGGTAGAGTATGTTCCTGAATGTTCGTCGAGCATTGTGGTCTCATGGAATGAACCAATGGCGACCGATAACTCTGGTCACGTGATTATCAATCACCCCACGCTTCGGCCTCCGGTCAACCTAAGTATCGGCCTTTACAGTCTTCATTATTCGGCGAAAGATGGCGAAGGAAACATTGTTAATTGCACATTTCTTGTACAAGTCGCAAGTAAGCCATTTCTTCGTTGTTACAACAGTCATCTAGCCTTCACTAATGATCTGGTTGTTAAAGGCACAGTTTATTGCACTATCGCAGAAAGCGGGATTAGATTTATTAACAAATCGACAGTAATTTCCATGGTGTATTATCTTAAAAACTTTTCAAATGACGTCAAAATGTTCAAAACTCAAGTGAAACTATAATCTGCAGGCGAGTGTTTTCACAGTTTACAAAGTTTGCAAAGTATAAAATAATATTAATAGTTCCATTTCCGACAAGTTTTTTTTTGGAAAACTGCATGCGACAGATCGATAGAGAAAAACAAATTGTGCCAGCATTGTGTCATTCCCGTGGTTTATACTCTCATAGCTCACCAACGATTGGCGCGCTTGAAGTCGTTCAGTTATTGTGAAGATTCTGTGGACTCTTGAGGATACTAAGTAGATTTAGGGCTCTGCTCTTGTCTTCTACGTAGCAGCTGTTATTACCGCAAGATCTACTAAATACACAGTTAATTGTGCTGCTCTTACTATTTGTGCACAGGAAGATCCTGCCCAGTCCTTAAAGCTCCAAAATATGGCACCATAGCCTCTCTTTTGTGTGGATGGTTATTTGGTTCCCAGGTCTTACTCTCCTGTAATGTGGGATATCACCTGTTGGGATCGGCCGTGAGATCATGTAAAGAAGATGGTAGATGGTCAGGCAACACAACTTCATGCCAGAGTAAGAAATCAACATAGTGCCAGTCCGCGTCAAAACGAGTTATTTTAATAAAATTGCTAATAAGGTGGTATTTTCACAGATTAGTAGTGTGTGAACTGATTTATAATTACCCAAATCAGTGGTAAAGGTCTTTGCACGACTGCTAGCTAGATTTGACCGTTCTTTGAATTAGGGTCTTTTACTGAAGTAATGTAGTTGGCGAGCAATCTCACACGGCGCTTCCAGGGTAGGGGGCAGAAAGGCAAGAATAATTTTTTTTTTTCGTCTCCCTCCCCCTAAACCCCTACGCCCATCCCCTTAGTACATTTGAAACTAAGATGGCCGCACGTAACAGTAAGCGCTCGATCTCGACAATGTTACGGAGAAGTAAGGGGACTGGTAACAGTCTACGCTGAGATATAAGGTATGGGAGATGATTAGATTTTATCCACTTTCTTTTCAAAGTCGTCACTTGTACTCCGCTGGTCACACCACTCCATGCAGTAAAGCAGATCGCGCCTTGTCCCAATACGTATGGATCAAGCTGTACATTCTCCTGTCAAACCGGATATACCAGCTCCAAAGGAAATATTACAAGGACGTGTCTAGCTTCTGGGAAATGGAGTGAGAGCGACATCAACTGTACAGGTATTCAAACATTAAGTCGTCTCCTCTCTTTGAGGAAAACTAAAAAGTATGGAACAAGCTCTCTTAAGCACAGAGATGGATACAGCTGAGGTCCATATAACTACTACCTTTGCCATACGGACAACAAGATCTATTATTAAAAGTTCTCTTAGGGACAGAGTTCGATACCAAAGTCCACTTAACTCCTACCCCTGCGATACGGACACCCCTGTCATTCCTACGTCCCTAAGTCTGGTTTGAGTTCATGTTAAGATGGGTTAACTATGGTTCAATAATAAAAAATGTTCACGTGTCTGTTCTTTGTTTAGCAATGTTGTCTCTCAAACAACATTAAAAATTAGTAATATAAAAAGTGGTCATTATAAAAATATTTTATCTGTTTATTAAAAAAGTGATAAAGGAGTAGAAACCTTCAGTCTCCTCTGTCTTTCAGCCCAGTATAAATGTTATTGTTATTGTTTACGATATATACCTAACGCTTTGTCGATTCTGTAATCTAAGCGGGTTGCCTACCTTTTTAGACATACACCCTCCAACGTTTGGAGCATCGTGTCCAACTGGCCCCTTGGTTGCGTATGCAGAACGAGGCATTTTTTCAGCATTAGTGAACTGGACCGAGCCGGTCGCAATTGACACCTCAGGGATTGTTCCTTTGGTGACGTCAAACTACCGAACCCCGCAGAGGTTCAGTCAAGGCTCTCACCTGATCACGTACACTGCTGTGGACCAATCAGGAAACAGGGCCACGTGTTCGTTTACTATCGAAGTCTTGGGTAAGAATCTTCCACTTTGCATTCCGCAACGAATTTCGTTTCGGTGTTTAGTCCTCCGAATTTGTATATTATCGGATTCGAGGAGGGGAACGCCGTAATGAGGGACGCGGGCTTCTCCCCTTTCACCTGTCTGCTCGCGCTTTCTAGTTCTGTTCACTTGGACCAAATCTGATTTTCCTGATGCCTCCACCGTAGTTCTAGCGAGCCCCACCGTAGGGTAATCGCTAAACCAAAAGAAATCTTTCTGTAAAAAATTATATCATCCTAGTTTTTAAAAGTTTAAGGGGAAGGAGTCATGGATGAGAGGACAACAGACGTGCCCTCTTGACAAAATATTTTAACATGTCAACAGTAACCTCGGACGTCAGCATACAATAATAAGCTTACTAATATACTTGTTGACTGGCATTTGTAAGTTAACATTAAACGTGGATCAGTTGATCGGGTTTTTTTGTTTTCGATGCGGAATTTTTTTTTCCCACTGTCATTAACTTTAAAACATTGAAACATTTGCTCCGTTTTGCTAGTTATCAACTGTACATCACTGATGGTTTCCCCCGGGGGTCCACTGCGCATGGCCAGCTGTGCCAACCATTATGGATCAAAATGTAATTTCTCCTGTGCGACTGGTTACCGTCTGAATGGTTCTTCAACTGTCACGTGTGTTGCCGTTGGTAACGGGCCCCAGGGATTCTGGGACAGCCCCATGCCAGTATGTCAAGGTGGGTTAAAACTAGGAATCTGTTTTTATTAATTTATTGAATGAGCAATGATTGTTATAATGCACTGATATTTTGCTTTAACCTCCTTCATCAGTTATAAGATGTCCTTCGCTATCCAGTCCAGCAAACGGAATTAAGAAGGGTTGCTCTAATCCACTTGCTGAACGCTATGGTACAATTTGCAGTTTTTCTTGCAATGTCGGCTACATCTTGACAGGCTCGCACACGCGAAAGTGCTTGGAAAATGAGGAATGGAGTGGACTCTTGTCATATTGTCAAGGTTAGCTTGCATCAAACTGGCATTTTCCTAGGTAATAATTTGAATAATAACGAAGTCCTTAGAGAAAAAATACCACAAAGTGAACTTATTACGAATAATTTACACTCCGGGAGAAACGATGCTTTGTCAATGTATTCCTTAACTCTATCGTTTGTACATAACACGAGAGAGAGTGTTCAACGGACATCCAAACACCGAGAAGTTGGAATAGAGAGAGTTATCAGACACCTGATTCAATGTTTTCTCGAGAGTTTGATCGATTTTTCTCGAAAAAGTTTCCATTTTATAGGAATCAATATTTACACCTAAGGAAGTTAAAGTTCTTTTGGGATTTCAAACTTCTTGAGGTATAAACAACTTTGCAACTATTTGTTTTTATTCTTATTTTTTTTTGTTCTCATACAGTAATAAATTGTAGTGCACTCGCTCCACCTTCCAATGGCGCCGTGTCTCCACTCTCGTGTTCATCAAGAAGCACATATTCTCAGGCCTGCAGGTTTTCTTGTGTAACAGCAGGATACGTTCTTGAGGGAACTTCTGCGAGGGTGTGTGGCGGTGATGGAAAATGGTCAGGAAAGAACGACACTCTTTGTAGAGGTACGTACACCAAGTTATTACTATGAATCCTCTTTCGATAATCTTGTTGCATCGTTTTTTAAGGTTACGTGATCGAAAGCAAATGTATAATTAACTACTCCGGCCAGATTGAAAGAGGGCTCTCTTCCCATGAAGACGTCCAAAAGATGTGTTTTAATGTCACGAAAGTTAAGTGACATCAGAGGGGTAAATTCTGTTTTCATAAACTAAAACAATTAGCCATATAGGAGAGACTATACTGGATATCGCCAACTTCTTATAAACTTTAGAGAAACGACTTTGCCCTACGCACAAGGAATATGTTAGGTTTTGAACTGACAAGAAATGAATTCAAAAATTGATTTACTTTTAGGGGGTATGCAAGTACCGTTGGAGTACCCAAACACAAACTGCCGTGTTTCTATGTGAAATAAGCTTTGCTATTTGTACGCAAATGCTTCGCGTTGTTTGGGCACTGCCCTGATCGCCATAACGTCATGTATTGCTTTTAAGAAGTAGCATTTTGATTATTTTCAGACAACACCCCTCCTTCATTCAGCGACACTTGTCCAAATAACATGGTGTCTTATGCTCCTAAATGTTCTTCCAGCGCTGTGGTCACCTGGAATGAGCCAATAGCGAAAGATAACTCTGGTCACGTGACCATCAGCTACCCTGCAATACGGCCTTCAGCCAATCTAAGTATTGGTCTGTACAATGTGCGTTACTCAGCAGCGGACGCAGAAGGAAACAGGGCGAACTGTAGCTTCATTGTACAAGTGTTAAGTAAATATGTCACATCCTTTTGTTAAAAGATTTTTAAGTACATCAAATTTATGTGCAGAACGTTTTGTTTTTACCCCACGTGAACGTGAATCAGTTTTCAGGGGAGTAAATTGTATGTGCTAATAACCCTTCAAAAGATCACAGGTCAAAATTATTTATTGATTTATTCTACCTTAAATTCAGTTTATTCTGTTTTCATTGTTTTTTGCTTGAATAGTAGCCATCGACCACAGTGAAAGCCACGTTTGTTAGGACGGATTAAGAAAATCCCCTCTCCCGCTTCATCTGAACTTTGATTGGCATAGAGTACTGAATACTCACCGCAGGAATAAATTAAATCATGTTGCCATTTACTATCAAATCTTCATTTCTCGTAGGAAAGTCTTGCCCAGCCCTCTATTCACCAATATATGGCTCCATAGTATCTCAATCGTGTGGATCGCTATTTGGTTCCCAGGCCACCTTAGCCTGTAACAAGGGCCATCGACTTTCTGGGTCACGTGTTCGTTCATGCCAAGAAGATGGAGTGTGGTCTGGCAGAAACACCTCATGCAGTAGTAAGATAAAAAGAAAACGTCAGGGACACCCCACGACAGTGTTCTGTAAAATATCGATTCGAAAACGCACATAGTGCCTAGATTTTCCGATAGTTTGAGCGCGACTAAAAATTTCTACATGACCCACCGTTCCTGTCAGGTACAATTTTCGAAGATTTTCTTATAAATTTCCTACGTTTTTTTGAAGTTTGATTTTTCACATTTTCGTCCCCAGGTTAAGCTATATTTCGAAGAAAAAAACCCCTAAATTTTCGGATTAAAAAATCTGATAGAGAGAGGAATCAGAAATATTCTTATCTTCGGAAGTCGTTTCAAAAAGATTCAAGTTGCCCTAGGATGACCGAACAGATAAAGATTTTTACAGCGTCGCTTAGAATGCATTTCTAGAGATCAAAAAGTACTTTGGATAGCCTAAAAAGGGTTTTCAACGTATTAAGGAGGAAACCGTCGTTGGGTGTCCCTACACCGGACACTTTTGTACCTTCTTTTGATCCACTTTTGTGGATTTTTAAAAACTCCACAACGTGGGCTACTACAAAGATGTTTGAGGATCCTTCAAGCGATTTGCTAGCTGTAAACATTCTATGTGCGACTTAGTAAAGGAAGAAACGGATTAATCTCGGTGTTATGCTAGTTTTGCAAAGATGTTGCTTCCGTGTTCTATCGATTTGTTGTAAATTTATCACTGGATCGAGGTATTTATTTTCTAATGGTAATCTCCTGCTCGTTTGATGAGTTTCTCACTTAATGATTTCAGTTGTCAAGTGCCCAGGTATCAAGGCACCCTCCCATGGAATGGTTGTTCCCTCTTCGTGCAAACAACCGTCTGGAGTCAATTATGATACTGACTGTTCCTTCACATGCAACACTAAGGATGGTTACCAGCTTGATGGTCCGCGCAGAGTATCGTGCCTTGAAAATGGTTCTTGGAGTGGAGATGCGAGCAAAAGTCGCTGTAAAGGTATGGAACATAGTTGATGTAATGTACACACAATAAAATCTGAAGTTAACGTCAACTGTCAACTGGATCGGTGTCGTCACCTTTTAAAATCCGCGAGGCGTCAGTTTTATGGTCTATACGCTTACAGACCATGTAGCTCTCGACCAATGGGCGCCCAGAAAATCACTGAGATGATGATAAACTGTTAAACACGATAAGATAGAGCGAGAGTAATCCGCCTTTCGCTTTGATTTCTAAACATTTTCTCATTGGAATTATCCATTTTCACTTCCTTGACAGATATTAGACCTCCCACAATTCAATGCCCTGCAGCAATGGAAGTTTCTACAGCAAGTGGGAAACCATATGCCACAGTTATGTGGAAAATTCCCGTCACCAAAGACAACTCTATTGGTCGTCTAAATCTCAGTGGCCTGGATCCTCCGCAGACGTTACAAGTTGGTACAACTAATATTACGTATTACGTCACAGACTCAGCAGGGCTCGGCAGCAGCTGTACCTTCTCTGTTCTTGTGAAAGGTAATATTTCAGTCATGCACCATCAATCAACTAGAAATCCTGTCTTGCAGAACCTCTCAAAGCTCAGTCACACCGTCTGAAACACAAACAGGGCAACGGACCAGAATCTTATAAAAAAGTGAAATTTTGTTAATCATCAAAATGAGACATCTGACGTCATCTGCCCAATACTGACTGAACTTGTTGCTAAAGAGAATAGAAGACCCTAAATTGGATACTTTTATAAATAATATGAATATAATAGGCAAAAATGACCCTTTTTTGATATAGTTTCGTTCAAGTTCATGAGGTAGTTAAGGAAAATACGAATAGTTAGGTACCTGATATACTACTGTGGGAAAGTTTATCGTGGCCTTGACAGATATTTTAGCTCTGTTCAAACAGTTACGAACTCGTCGAAACTTTCTCGCAACAGTGGTCATGAAACGATTTTTTGAGGCTTTGACACCCTCTTCCAGTTTCATTTTACAGCCACGTCTCAATCAAACTAATTTAACGATCTCCAATAATTTTCACGACAGTGACAATTTTCAGGTGAAACAAAACAAAAAGTGTAAGAAAGGAGACGGAACAAACAAAGTAACCTGCGAGCAAGCTATCCAATAATGGCGAGCGATGCGAGGCGCGAGAGACAACGCGAGTGAGCGGCGATCCTTTCGTCGCCTGCGGCTCTCGCGTGACTTCTCGAGACTTCCCCAAGCGAAGAACTCGCTCGCAGGCTACAAACTAAGCAAGGCATGTGACATGCACTCGCCATATTTTAATCTAAACGTCTTTCATCAGATCTTGAGCCACCTAGGTTTGTCTCCTGTCCGAATGATACAAAGATCATCTCCCTAACAAGAGAGTCCAAGCTGATGTTGCCAGCTGTTGTTGCCACGGATAATGTGGGTGTGACAGAGATTACGACAAGCATTCCAAATGGAACTGAAGTCGAGTGGGGAGAATACGAAGTAACTTACACCGCATCAGATAAGGCGAAAAATACTGCTTCCTGCTCATTTGATATAACAATAGCCGGTAAGAATATGTATCTTAAGATGTTTTGTTAACTTCTAGTTGAAGCAGATGATGATGATGATGATGATGATGGTAACGATAATGATGATAATGATGGTGGCAGTGCTGGTGACGATGCTGCTGCCGCTGCTCACGACAATGATGAAGATGATGATAATGATTTCTTCTTTTTATTGCATGAAATCCACATATAAAGAGTGGTTTCTGCTTCTTTCTATTTAGAGAACTCACCATTACAGTTTAAAGTCTACTGTATAATTGTACTTAACCTTGGTTTTGCCTATGTTTTTGCCATATAACTTTTTGCCATCCTGTACCTTAACGAAACATTAT